TTGCGTAAATGTGCGTGGTTCCCTACCTCTGGATACAGGACACGCTTCCCAAGAGTAAGGGAGGTGACAACCCTCATCCTGTCACTGTGTGGTGATGTAGTACTACCAGTCATCTCTGCCCTCCTCTCTCATCACCGAGCCTGGTTATATTCTCAGTGCCATTCTCCTCCTTTAGCACCCGGGCCGGCCTGGACTCATTGTCATCTCGTTCTCATTTCTCTTTGGTCTTCTTTGATCTGGGACATTTCCACATCCTTTCACGGTGCTGGCATGCCTTCACACATCAGAACCCCGTTTAAAATGTTTTTTATATTAGCTAACTATTTATGTTTAGGTTGAATTGTGCGCTCCCCTAGAGGATGTCATGCAACTGCTACCTGTCCTAGTGTCCCATGGGACGCTCCGAGTGAGCATTGGTGTCGCTTTGCCAAGATGCTCTTTGATGTATGCTTTATATAGCTATTCTTCTGCTCTTTGCGTTTATTATCAGCACTCTGCTTGTTATTTTGGTTTCTTTGGGGATGGAGTCTCACTATATGCTAGGTTGACCTTCCATGCCTGACCCTCCTGCCTCTACCTCCCAAGTGCTGGGCTACTGACATGCCCGGCTGCCCTTTGCAGCTTTTCAGCAACCCATGAAGAGATACTTTAATCTTGCTTCTGTGAAAATTATCTTCTAAATTTGTGCCTAAGCCAGTCTGTGTAATGATCATGGCATTCCCACGTTCATTATTCCTGCATGTTTTCTTTCCACGTCTGCTCTAAGCAGAGTCTCCTGCTATGTTCTCCCTGGCACACTTCCTCCCTTAGGTAATATGGCTCTTAGGACTTTGAGTCCCAGTTCTCAGGATCCAGTGCTGCCATGCTTCAGTTTTCTTCCATAGTCGGCCCCAGGTTTAGCTGGTGAGAGTAAGGTAGCTTGGTGCACATCTTATTCATATTTTGTGGGTGTTTATGTTGCTGTTGGGAGTAAAAAAGGCCTTCCGGTTTCATCTGCCCTCATCGTCTTGCCTCTGGAAATACCTTTCCGGCAGTGTGTCCTCCTTCCTTTGAGTGGAGAATGTCACTGGATACCAGTATCTGAGTGCCAGGTGTGCTTGTTGCTATTGGTAACTTCCTTTCTAGGAAATGATGCATTCACATGCACATTATGTATGTAGTCATGGGATCAGTTTTATTTGTTTGCTGGCAGTTCCCTTGTTGGAATGTCCCACCAGTATCTTTAGCCAGTGTCTGTCGAACTTTAACTTGTTGCCAACCAGATGGATGAGAAATAGTTTGGAGTTGCCGGTACCCTGGTATACGTAAACCCGGACATCTTTACTCTGTGTCTCAGTGATCATTTATTTTATGATTTTCAGTTTTGTGAATTGTCTATACCTTGCTTGCTATTATTATTGCCACTATCACTATATTGTCAAGTCACAGTTTCATCCCTTAGAGCAGGTTAGCTTGGAATCCAAACTCCAGTGAACGTCGTAAGTACTGAAGCCTTTCTAGTGTTTGGTTTACAGATGTGAGCTTTCCTGCATCCCTCTTGGTGTCTCCTCCTAACCAAAAAGTTTGACTTTTTACCTGCAGATCTGATTAGTTTGGGGTCAGTGTATACAGTTTCAAGTTGATCTAAGTTTAGCTTCTTTTTCCAAATGATAACTTATGTTCCCGTAAGATTAACTGTGAAAACATCTTTGCCCATATTGTCTGAAATTGGTCATTACTTTTTTATTCTTTTACTTTTTTTCAGGTGGGGGCATGTCCCTGCCCTGTTGCGCAGGCTGGTTTAGACATCCTGAGCTCAAGTCATCCTTCCACCTTGGCATCCCAGTAAGCTGGGATGACCAGTGCTTACCACATCCCCGGTTACTGTTACCACATTTTAACACGAGCTCTGACTAGGTGGGAGGAAGGACAGTGATGAGGCAGAGGGGAAATTAGCAGAGAATCTGTTCCTGGTTTGATGATGTCAGGAATCAGATGAAAGCTGAACTCGCTTTATATCAATTAAGCATACTTGACCTTTTCCAAGTCTGCCTCTTTGATCTCTCCCGTCCTTCCCCCTCCCTCCCTTCATCGCGCCCTCCCTCCCTCCCTTCCTGGTAACTTTATTAACAGGAGGGAGTGTGGCACAAAGACTGGTTTCGGATTGCCCTTGCCTTCCCCCTTAGCGGCCTTCCTGTGTCATTTGGGGAACTTGGTTGCATGGATCTTCAACAGCAATGAGACTCTAGTGTCTTTTACTCCTGCCTTGTGCTAAGTCCCAACTGTACCCTTTTGTGCCAATTGCTGTTTCGGTGGGGCCTTTGCCCATAGGACACCTATAGCCACACAGGGTGAGAAGCTGACCAGAGAAATTTGGGGGCTTGATGATCTGTGTGAGTTAGGTAGGTAGGGGAAGTGGTGGACTGAGCTGTTTACGTGTCTGTAGTTGGGGACTAGAAGTATCTTTCCTCCAGAATATTGGCAATAAGAAATTCCAGATACATAAATTTTTTGACCTCGAAGAATCAAGACATTTAAAATTTTTATAGAAAGCATAAGCTTTACTGTTTCTTAAAGAAAAATAGTTCCCCCATAAGGTGAAGGTCTTTGCACATGCTGTTAATCTTCTTGATGTTGTTTATCAGTACCCCATGAAAAGGGGGGTCAGTTTGTGAAAGGCATATTTGGAAAAATGTTTACTTAAGCAAATTGAGACCGTCTTTCTTTGCTGTAGAACGTCTCAGAATATTTGCTATGAATTGATCTCTCTGGATCTCTCCCTGCCCCATCCCATATGTGTGGTGGTAGTGATGATGGTGATGGTGATGGTGGTGGAGTTGGTGATGATAGTGGTGGAGGTGATGGTAGTGGTAGTGGAGGTGGAGGAGGTGGTGGTGGTGGAGGTGGTGGTCGAGGTAGTAGAGGTGATAGTGGTGATGTTGGTGGTGGAGGCTGTGGTGCTCTTAGTCAAGGTGGTGGTGATAGTGGAGATGGTTTAGACCAGGCAAATGCTAGATAAGAAGTCCAGCGTTGAGCTGCATCCTTGACTCTTGGTTTCATGAGTCAGGCTTTCCTATGTGGTCAGGCTGGCCTTGAACTCCCTATGGTGCCGCAGAATCTTAGAACTTAGGACATAGTGTCTCTCCTTCCTGAGTGTTGGGACTACAAATATGTATCACTGTTTATACTTGAATTTCTCAGGTCTGTTAGGAACAAAAATTTGCCATTGCTCCCTGACTAAAGGACATTCATCCTCTGGTCTGTAAAGGTAAACTTGTAGGTGATGGCACTGCCGTGCAGAGACTCCTTGTGTCTCCCTAATTTATTATCTTCTCTTAAATTCTTTCCAAGTGGAGCTCTCTGCAGGCAGATGATCTGTTTAAGGCATGAATGTGTACCTGCACCCCACAGCCTGCTCCATAGAAGTGCTCCTGAGTGTGAAGCTCTTAGCCTTCCTTTAGTTTTGTTGAAATCTTTGTGCTTTGATTCTGCCTCCTACATGTAGATGTTTTAAACAACAGATTCTTACTTTTAGTATAAAACAAAAATCAATAAACATACTCACTCAGACTTGTATAAGTAACTCCTTGGCCTTCCTAAGGATGTAAGGCTTAACCATGAGTCACTGAATATGCTTTTACTACTGCTGTTCACCACCCAGAGCAGGTGCACACAGATAGACGTGTTTCACCTTCTCTCATGCTGCCCAGAGTCACCTAAGATAGGCACAGAGGAATATATAGTATGATATAGACATATTATATCTATCTATAATTATATATAACACACTATATGATATGTAACACATGATAATATGTAGACAGATGTAATAATAGACATAGGTACGTGGGTTAAGCTTAGCTGTGTGCTGCCGAGGATGAGCACCTAGAGTTGGCTGTAGTTTCAGCAGCACCTCATACGCTGGCTGATCCTGCTGTTCAGTTGGTGATGTCTGCTGCACTCTGCTCTTGGTTTCCTTAGTGCCATTCCTCTTCTCCTGTGCAGCATGTGTGTGTGTGTGTGTGTGTGTGGTGTCCCCTACTCCTCTTTTAATTTCATGTGCTTGAGTGTTTGCCTACATGTATATCTGTGTAGCAGACATGTGCCTTGTGCCCAGGAGAGCCAGAAGAGGGCATTGGGTTCCTGGAACTGGAGTGACTGGTGGTTTGGAAGCTGCCGTGTGGTGCTGGGACTGCTTTGACAGAGCAGCCAGTGCTCTTAAATAACGAGCCACCTCTGTAGCCCTGTCAGCATGTATTCTGTGGTGTTTTACTTTCCGAGGCTCTGCGAGATGAATGTCAGTCTCTTGGAAATTGTCCAGTTTTCCTGAGCATATAATACATCCAAACAGGATCCCGTGCATGAGTCATATTATAAAAGATCTAGTCTCACCTGTGCATGTGTGTGTGGATGGGTGCACATGCATGCACCCACATGGACACACACACATATACACATATGCGCCTTTTCACGCATCTTCTAGTGAAGGATGGTATGTTATTTATGTACAATATAAGAACTCAGAATTCTGAGCATGCTTCTTCCCTTTTCATTTACTCTCAATTTCTGCCCCTGGAACATTACTGTGTGTTTTTTTTTTATTCAAAATGACCTTTATTGGTGCTCTTCAAAGATATACATGTAGTTAATTCTTTTAGAAACTTTGCCACCTATACCCCTTTCCTCCCAGTGGACGTAGAAGGAGCTGGAAAGGGAATGAGAGGAGGGAAGATGGAAGGAAGAGTTACCTGTAATCTTGTTATCCTAAATGACAAAGAGTGCATAATGTTAGTAAGGTGTGTGTGTGTGTGTGTATGTGTGTGCATTCACTATGGACAGCAGTTCTGGTGTTTGCCTTTTAAACGCATTCTGTTTTTAAGGACTTTCATGGAAAGAACATTTACAGTAGTTTGGTATTGCAGCACTCAATAGATCACCTTCACTCAGTGCCTCCATTGCACTCAATGCAGTGAGCTATGCCCGTAAAGTGACTGTGGCTTAATTCACTTTTCTCCTCACAGGGTCTCGCTCCAAAGCTGTCTGTATACATGGTGCTTTCACACAAAGTGTCTGGTAAATTTAAGTGAGTCCACACTAAGCTGGAAAAATATCTGCCCACCTTTTCTTAAGAAATTAAACTTGGCACATGATGCGTTCCAGAACTACAAAAGAAAGGTGAGAGCCAGAGCAAGCGAGGCTGCCCTTATATGGACATGAAGAAGCAGGCTACAGTGTGGTAGGTGCTGCCTTTGGTGCATGGGAGCGGTCTGATGGTCTCAGTGCTGTTTGCGGCTGTTGTTTATTACTTTGGGCCCAGGTATCCCTTTAAATAAAGGATTTTCCTGATGGGAACTGGCTTGCATTAATCAGTGTATAAGGCAGCCTGTGATCAGCTCGATGTAATGTTCACGTGCATCTGGGAGCATGAGTGTCCATTCCATTCCATTCATTGCTGGTGTCATCACCGGTGTTTTTCCTGTGCCTCCGAGGCTTCAGAAGTGGAGTTGGTTGTCAGAGTCATTGTGTGGTGAAGGATGACTGACGTAGAACTGAAGGCACCGGCATCCCATGTCATCAGGTACAAGGGAGAGAAATCCTTCACTGCCTTTCCGCAGGTCGTTAGCTGAAGGATATATGGCCTTTCTAAAACAGCTCTCCAAATAGGGCTGTCTTCCTGCATGCATGCTGATGTCCTCAGCAGACATACATGGGCATTTAAACCTCTGGAGACCTTAAACGTGCTGTATTGTCAATCACTATATGGTTTTCCTCTGTGTAATCATTGGTAAACTAAGATAAGTCCTTATACCCTACTTATACATGATGCTTCCAAGATGAAAGATTAGAGCGCAGATAGCTGAAGTTGCTGGAAGCCTTGCTTATCTTATGGAAGGGAACTGGAAAACCTTAGAGTGGTTTGTGTAAGTATTGCTTCTGCTACAGCTCCCTCACTCGCTGCTTTGAGAGCTTGTTTTTGGTTCAGCATGAAGTTGAAGTTGTGAACCAAGTCGAAAGGTGATAGAACTGTGGTTGTCTGAGCCCTCCGACTGTGTGGGTTGTCTGAGCTCACCAACTGTGTGGGTTGTCTGAGTACACCTACTGTGTGGGTTGACTGAGTACACCTACTGTGTGGGTTGTCTGAGCTCACCTACTATGTGGGTTGTCTGAGCACACCTACTGTGTGGATTGACTGAATTCATCCTGGGAAAGTAGCAGAAAAGAGACTATCGGTACTGAACTTTTCCGAAGCGTGTGCTGGATGCCCCGCTAGATGCACTCTGTATACATTTGCTCTCTAGTACAGCTGCAGGAACTTAGGTGTAGTGACCATGTTGTTCTCCATGTTAGCCTTCCCAGAACTGAGGTTCAGTCATGTTAAGAGAGCGTTGGAATGTGTGCTTTCTCATGTACCTGCCACCTGCCACATCCTGTCAGGGATTATTCGTTCTCTGAGTTGTTCATGAGTCTGGGCAAGTCTAGGGCTTGAAGTCTTGTGAAAATTTTTCTGACCCCTCCCATTCCCCACTCTGCACTCCATGAACATTGTAGTGGTTGGTTGTGTGCACGTTTGTCTTTAGTGTGAGGTGTGAGCTCTTTTAGATGTCTTGCTGGACTGTCTAGTTGGTTGTAGGTATTTGATACATACGCCTTGATCTCTCTTCCATGGTGTATTTGCTGCCTTTCCATAGTCACGGAACACCCATACAGTTAGGTAACCCAATTTAAGCGTGCCCTGATTTTACTTTAACATTTGAATAAAACCTGCCCTGTTTTTAGACATCTGCTTTCAGCCTTTAGAGGGTAAAGCTGCCCGGCTCTCATCCCCATTAACATTTTGGTCGCTTGAATTTGTGCATAGCAATCATTGTGTGTGTGTATGATCAGAGATGCTACCACTTTTGTGTGAGTACAAAAACATTAACCATGTGAACAGACAAGTACAAGTACTTGCGAGTTGCTATTGACACCCAGATACGTACCTCGGAATGTAGGAGAGCATTTTGCATGCAATATGCAATGAAAATCTTTTAAAAGTGTTCATGTGCTTTAATTAGTCAGCTGAAATATTAACATAAATATTCTGAGTAAAATGTTATGATGGTCATGTGAGCTATTTGATGGATAAAACACTTTATTAACAATTTTGAAATAGTTAAAGCATTAAAGAAATTGGTGGTTCACATATATTTAGACTAGCTAAATCTTAGACTACATGAACTCAGTTCCTCGGAAGATTATATTCTTTTGAAGCCATCAAGTGATTATGAAATATGAATTAGAATGACAATATTTTTTATGAGATTAGATTATATCATAATTATAATTGTCTTAGGACTGCTTGATGAAATCATTAAACAGAATGACCATTAAGGAGTATTTTAAATTTTTAATTATTTAAATTTACCAAAGGCTATAAATCTTTCAAGAAAAAGTCTATTTAAGAATTTCACATCTAGTGATTTAAATGGAATAGCTGTACTATTCCCTGGAACTCGGGTCAGGGTCAGGAAGCTTTCTGTTTATTCTTATAAGAGTTCAAATGGGGACAGTGATGGAGTTCAGCACTGGCTTTGGCTGAATACTGATTTTAACACTTAGCCATTTGGTACTGTATCAATTCTTATAGCAATAGACCTTTATTTGTATAGGGAGGTACAAGCGCCAGTGGGGGGGAAAATCCCTATTTATTGTCTATCAGTTCACTTATAAATGGTTTCTTTTCATGTACTAATTCTCCTGTAGGAGAGAATTAGTTTCTTCTTCTGTTAGAGAGGACTGTTTTTAGTTTATGTGAGTGACATATGTATGTATGTACATGAGCTGTCTATTGTTTTTCTCCTGCATGTTTTCATGCATCTTTATTTTCAGCAGATAATCTTGTCATGGAATGCAATTTCAAATTTTCATATTAATTTATTTGCTTGATAATCACGGTGATGTTAACATCATGCCAGATCTTGGGGAAAAAACAGCAACACGTAAGACATACATTGCCATTTCCACTGTGCAGATGTGGAGACTGAGGCTCAGAGAGGTTGAGAGGACCTGCTTGCACCCCCTTGGAATATAGTGGACTTTGTTTACTTGTTGCTTGTCTAGCTCCTCTCCAGTCCTGGATCTTAATTACCAATTGCAACGCTCCAACACAGAGGGCTGGAGATTGGGCTTGCTCGCTTTCCCTTTGCCCTGCCATGGTGTGGAGTGGAATGTGACAAGGCTAGCTCCGGGCCCCGTTTGCAGGAGACCCTTGCGTGGTGCTCTTTCCACGATACTCCTGCTTCTGCTGACAGGCCCAGCCGATCCTGACATTGTCTTGACAAGACGCTCACTCTTCAGGGAATGCCAGGGAAACAGATTTTGCAAGTGAGTTGGTTTTCCCCCAGGGTTCCTGTGATGCTCATGCTTCATGGTCAGCCCTTCTGGTTCGCCCACATTCTCACTGTCCTGTGATCATTTCCACTCCCCCATCCCTCCCTACCTAGCTGCGTGTGAAAATCACTTGGTAGCTTTTCATCCCTCAACATGGTTAGGCTTCCTTCTCTGGGTTCTGATCGGAACGGGCTGGGCTGGAGCCTGCCTGCCTAGGAAGAACAACCGCTTCTTGTTTGCATCCCTTTTTTGGTGTGGTGGACTTTCTATTTTGAAAGCAGCAAACCCTCAATCTTACGATGTTATCATTCCACCGAAGGGTAGGATTTGCTTACTGAGAGTTTTTGCGGGTGGCCACGGCTGTGGAAAAGATGCTACAGGCATGGGCATGAACAGATGTTGAACTTTGTCGCCTTAAAGGAGGGGACTGAACCATCTGGACTGGATCAGGGAGAGCCACCTGAAGACAGAGCGGTGGCTTTTGCCAGTGTCCCCTCCATTATCTTCTTCCCTCCTCACCAGAGTTTCAACTCTGACAAGATGTATTTTTCCAGTTGTGAGGAACAGTCATTCCCAACAGTTTTCCCCCAGAACATATTATGGATCATTTACAATAAGGTCGACATTTGTTTACAGTCTCTTCCTCTTTTTCCTCCAACATCTTTAATTTACTGGTACACATAAAGATCCTCCTCAACTGTCATACTCCCTGGGGCACACACTGTGCGTATGGTGACAGTCTGCCTTGTTGCTGTGGAAATACCCAAAGTCCCTAGCCTGGCACTGAGTGTTCTTTTCAGAATTAAGGTCATCCTTTGCTGCCCTGGGTGCCAGCCAGCAGAGCTGTACCCTGGCCTTGGATCTGTCCCATCCGACTTTGTTCCGGTGTCTCCTGGTGGTGGAACACTGACTGTCCTGGAGCCACCTGTCATTCTCCCAGCTAGAAATAATCTTCCCCTCGCTAGAGCCACACAGTGCTTTGAGTGGGAACGTGGAGAACTCATCACATTGTACCTCGAGCGTCTGCCACTGCCCGCGTCTGGAGGGTGGGGTGGCCTCTGCTTACTTCTGGCACCTTCTGCCGTGCCAAGAATATGGGAAGCGTTCCAGAGTGGTTTTCACAAGTGACGGTGCTGCTTTTAGTTCATCTCAGCAGTTGTACAGAGTTAGCCTCCTGAGCTCTTGGAGGCTTTGGTGAGCGTGTGCAAAAGGTCTACAGTGAGGAAGCAAAATCCAGTGACCTAGTTATAGCCCGTTCCCTGCATCCGTGCTTCTGAGGAAACTCTGGCCTCAGCTCTGAGGGAGATGTTGCCTTTTTAAGGGGCTTGTTGTTGACATGTCTTCCTAAGGGACCTTTTCTCTTTTTCTTTTTTATTAAATAAGAAAATAGTGAATTCTCGTGTAGAAAAGCCAGTAAATGCAGACTAGGACTCAAAAAGAAAGTAAAATTCACCTTGAGTGCGTCTAGCTATTGCTTCAAACCTGCCCTGGTTTAATAGGCATGACAATGTGGGGTGTCCTGTGCTAGTATGTGTGGGTTGATTCTTTGTGGCGCTAACAACTGATGGAGAAGGCCACTGTGTCCTATAGGTGGACTGTTTTCATTGTCTTCCTGAAACTGAGCCACAGTACATACTGTCACCATTGAGGCAGTGCCAAAGTGGACATTATGGCAGCATAGTGATTAAGCACCAAGTATTTCAAAAGGATTGGGTGTCTATTTTTCTGCCTGAGTTGTGCCTTAGCAACAGCTAAGGAATCAGTGAGACCAAATAGAGACATCAGTGGGACCAAAGTTTAGCAGTACAGTTTCTGTAGAGTATGGTATGTGACCTGACGATGATGGGCAGGGTGTGGCAAATGGCA